AATAACGCTAGCCTATCATCTATATATTACTAGCTGCAGAAACATCTTAACGCTAGCATTTTCTAGTAGCGTTATTTAACGACAGAAGCGTTAAATAACGACGCTTGTCCAATAGACACTAGTATAACATGGTCTGTTGGGTCCTACCAGCACCTACCGTACTAGTACAAGTGGTACAGCCGTACCATCTTTGGTTGTCAAGGAGCTGGAGCCACATGGGGGTATTGGTTGGTCAAATGCTACCGGTACCCTGCCCTCAATACTACCGTACCGTAGCTAATAGAGAAATAGATGCGAAATACGGTACATACATATACTACCGGTAGTTGTGGGTTGGGGGCCGTGCAAGGGAGGCAACTACTAGTAGGCTAAACTCGTACGGTACCAGTGCGTACCGGTACCCATGTGTGTCGGCCGCTCATTGTGGCATGGGCGTGATCCAATATACGGCAAGCTCCGAGTCACTGCGACCATGAGACGACAACCCAATGGACGTGCATCGGAGAATCTGATTTCTTTACATTCGAACATTACCGATATTGTACCAAAGCATCCAACTTGCAGCATCTGTGCCACGCCGGATGCTGCGACCACGAGGCTTCCCCAAATTGACACGAGAGCGGCGCTTGCTTACTTCGTGGTGGGAGTGCAACGTTTAACGCAACGTTGCGTCAAATCGCACAGGCTGATCTAATCTCAATCGCATCGAGCTGTGAGTCGTCGTTAGTTTAGCTAGATCTGGATCGCGATTCGATTCATTCTTCGGATATTTCGTGCGTCGTTCGACACCTCCACCGCTGGAAACATCCACAGCTATCTAGCTACAGTGTAGCTAGCAACGGTTGTTTCCTTGTTACACCTGCAGCAATGGTCCGAGTGGTCAATAACACAAAACCCACAAGTCCAGGCGCGTTGGGCGCCAGCATGGACATACCGGCACTGTCAGCCTACATCTCAAAAAGATTTACTCTATTCAAACACACCCAGCCACCGTCCTAGGTTCGCGACCGTCCTTATTAGCTATCCCGTGAAGGGCATGCACCTGGGAGGCGTGGGTACGAGACGTGTGCTTGCACGAGATCGGACAGCGCAGGTTGTTCCTGGAAAGAGCAACGAGAAGATCTCTCAGCGGAGGCCCAGGTCGCAGAAAATGGGAAAGTCTAGCAACGAATAGTAGTATCTTATTATGTATTTAGCAGCCACTGCATTGGCTAGCTGTCATTCCGTTGTTCCAGTGCGCAACGCTCACACCTCAAATTCACGTCCTAGAGCAGTGCCTTGCGTTTCATCACCTCGACCAGTAATATCACTATCATGGTTGCTGTGCTCGTTGGCAACCACTCCTCCAGCACCGACTATTGTCAATCCTGCCAGGTCATCCGGTAAATGGCTGTGCTGAGGAGCATTCTCAGTGCTGCCACTGGCATGACTCATGTCATTGTCCATGTCCATATCCGAACCAACCGTTGTGTCTCCAAGGGTCAACCCTGAAACAACCGACCTGGACTTTGATGTTGTGTCTACAAAATAGGTCTGCAAAAGCCCCTTGCCTTTAGCTTGGACTTTGTCTGGACGTGGTGTCAACCACACTTCCTTGCCCTTGGCACGGAGAGCATCAGCTGTTTCCTGCGAGACATGGATGCGATGCGGTAGGCCATTGGATTCCATTCGAGATGCTGTGTTCACCGTGTCACCTGCGAGTGTGAAAAGGAGAAAGGATAAGAACACGCTGCCTTGTCCTGCTGGCTGACTTTGTTTCTTGACTCATCAGTCAATCAGTCAACCCACAAGCAACTTACCAAAGAGCTGAAAACGAGATTTTTGGCCCCTCAGAACGCCAGCGGTCACTGGTCCACTGAGATTAATTCGGGCAGGAAGAGAAAGAAGCACGAACAAGGGGTCAGCTCACAGACGCAGCAACGTGAATCTGTTTCTCTGTCCACTGCTGGATTAATGCAACTTACGAATGAAGCCCCACACGCATGGCCAGATCAGCGGTATCTTCTCCCATTGTGTCGGCCAGAGATGACACTATCACCTTCATTTTGTTCATGCAATCCGTTGCAAATTTACACATTATAACTGCATGATTTGGCTGGGGCTGGGGCAGGCCTGTTGCGGCAACATAACTGCGCACAAAAGAGGTGGCGTTAGGTCATCAAGTGGCTGATAAACAACATACTTTGCTGCACGACAGATGGCACTGTGCTTACCAATCTCCAATGGTTTCCACTAGGTAGTGGAGTAGTGGCAGGAAAGGCAAAGCAAGGCAGTCACGATGAGCTACCAACGAAGGGCATAGGGCACATGAAGCGCGCTATCGTAGTCGATACCTTTAAATACATCACGCTTGAGCGCAACGTTGTCAAATGCTCCATCTGGTGTCAAGAAACAGAGTGGTTGATGGATGTGAGAAGCAGGTCATTTGGACCAGGGAGTTGTACTGTAGCAGCCATTGACTGTACCGGTATAGCTCTAATGAACTTACACAACGTCTCCAGCAACTGGAAGACCTCGACGGGAGTGCGCTTGGCAGACCAGGAAGTAAACCCTGCACAGAAGAACCAATAATGAAAATGAGAAACCAGGCGAGATTGAACACTACACTCCGATGCAGTTGCTGCATGTACTCACCCACTAGATCCGCAAAGTATATGGTGCTTTCGGGGTACAAACTGGCAATGACCTTTTTTCCAAGTTCCATATTGCTGTCCAAGGGCGAGGCGTTACTATTGACGAGAGCATCTGTGGCGGGGTTGTTTGAAACAGTCTTGTTTTCCCATCCCTTTCGTTTTTGGTTCTTTTGGGCTTCTTCTTGTTGATCTTGATAGAGTTGATCCCGCACGTCTTCGGGAAAGAGTGTACTGACGAGCTTTCCAGATTGTTGTGCCGATTGGAGTACAATTTTCTGTCGCCGTTCGACCATGTTATCATAGATGAGAAAGACAGCGGACGTAAAGAGAAAGAGCGATGCCAACACGAGAACGTAGATCCATGGCTTGTCGGTTCGATGATCATCTTCAAAGTCTTGTGAGGGGTATACTCGGATGCTGTAATGGCATCCATTCTGGTTGTCATCTGGGACTGTTGCGTTGATAACGTTTCCAATGGAGGTTCCAGCTTCGAGATAGTCATACTTGGGGTCGTGGAGATCGCCGTGTCCCACAAAGAGAGAGGATGTTCCATCAACTCGATAAGTGTAGACTTGATCACAGGTATTCTCTAGAATGACAAAGATGCCATCAGATCCTGGAGGGAGGAGGTCGTCAAAGTAAGTTCTCCAATAGACGATGACGAGGAATAGACCACTGACTCTTGGCGGATCTGGATCCGAGTTCGAGTCTATGTAGGAGAACTTGTCAAAAATGGGAAACCAAGCCAAAGCATGAGGATCATCTTGATAATCGAAATTCCGATTGCTCTTGAGCAGTCCATATCTTCCATCTTTTTCTGTTTCCTCATCAAGGTAGTCATGGCTGACTTCAAAGGTCGGTTTTCCAGTCTCTAAAGTAGTGTCAATGGTGACTCGATGATCTACATCTCCATACATGTCAACATTGGCAGCACTTGAAGGATTGAGAGGCCAAGTACACCAAACTGGATAGAACAGTGTATGATCGGGAGTGACTTTTTGTACCGGACCAGGTCCATTTGGATTGTGAAAGTTCATCATCTGAGGAGGCATGGGATAAAATCCAACGTCAGTGACGTTGACATCTTCTGGATTGGCTCCGATGACTTGTGCCCATCCTTCGACTCTCCATTGTTGTTCATTTTGTTGTACATACTGATTCCAAGTTTCCAGTTGCTCTTTCTGCACAATGGGAATGAAAATGATAAAGAAGAGCTGTGCCAGAGTGGCAGCGGTTTCCGCTCGAAATGCATAATTGGGAGGAGTGACATAGGGGAAAGAATGATTGGCATCCGAGGTGACGGACTCTGCAAAAGCATCGATAACACCAAAGCGTTGTTCAACCTTGGCTTCAAAGCTTTGAACCATCTTTTCTCCCAAGTCAGAGAAGTCCTGCTCAAAAGACTTGGTTTCGCTCTTCCTGCCTTCCAAATAGACCACCACACACACAGTCACGGCAACAGCCAGCAACACCAAGGTTGTCAAGATCCGCAACCAAAAGACCCAACGATCTTCTTTCTTGGCCACTTCCAGTTCCGTGTACAAATCACGTGTACCACCATTTCCAGTGTGCATACCATCTCCACTTGCGTCATTGTTGAATTGACGGCTGGAAAAATCACCCTCTTCCAAGCACTCTTCTTTCTTGACGACCTTCATACCAGTACTACATGTAGTAACCGTGGGAGTGTGCTCAGTGCTGCTGTTCTCGCTGGTCAGAGTTACCATGGTGTCTTGTTCTGATACCCAAATTGACTTGACTTGACTTGACACTTGACTTAACTTGATTTAGCTTCTATTTGCTCAGAGTAAATTTGATTAGATTGGATTAATCGATTCTAAGGATCAGATAGATGTTGTTGATAAGGATTGTGGTGGGATGAGTTCTACTTCTCGGAATCCGAGCGTAGCGTACCGATTGCTACGGTAGCAGTTAGTGGGGGCAAAATCTCCCTGGTCGGTCACTGTAGATGTTGTTTGTAGTATTTACACTGTCGGCATACGGGCTGTTCTCTCTTACATATGTTTTCCATATATATATATATATTTTTTTTTAGATTTCGCTTCCAGCGAGTGGTTTGCCATAAGCACGCGAGCTGTACCGGTAGCTAGAGACATCTCGCCACGAGTTCTGCACAATTCACAGGGAATGAAAACCAATCTACGGTACTCATGCGGGTTCCCTCGTGCCTCAAAGTCAGTCGCAAAAAGCTCTTGGGAGAAGAAACGTGGATTTGGAATTTGGAATGCGCCAATGGGCGAGGAGATTGACAGGAACTATGATACACGTACAGTGAGAAAGCCCGAGATCTTAAATGCCTTCTCTTTTTTAATTAAGTAAAGTCTACTCGCAACTCCAGTAGCTAGATATTAAATAGCTAGATAGCAAGACTACATACTTGGAAAATAGTAACTAGCTAGCTTCCGTTTGTTAATAATATTCGACCCGATTACCAGCGACAAAGCAGAAAGCAGAAGACAGAAAGAAACTGGTTTGTAACTTGGTAGGTTCTCTGCGAAACCTGCTACTGATGAGTACCATGGTAGACTGGTGGAATGGTGGAATCGCTTCGCGATTCCCTTCGGGCGCCTGATTTCTACCTTCCGCATTCCGATGATTGTGAGTTGTGTTTGCGCCTAGCAGCTGGTTGGCAACCAAAGAGCAGTCTTGATCCACGGATAGAAGGGAGGTGGATCAAGACAAACAAAACAATGGGCTCAGCACTCAAGCTTGGTTGGTATTTACTGTTATTACTTACTGTGCCGAGGGGCCAAAAAGTAGCAGTAATTGCAGTAATGCAGTAATTACTCAGTAAAAGTAATATAGGTCAGTAATCCTAGCTAGTGCCATTGACAGTAAAAGTAAAGGAATTACTGTCTACACAGGAATTACTGCAGTAATTTCAAGTACTGGGCTAAACAAGAGACAACAAGGCCACCATTAGAGGCAACATTGGTGGCAATTCAGCTGCACCAAAGGAGGCAGTGAAGCTTCCTAGAGCCCTTTTGGCGTATTGTGCGTGAATTCCTTGTTTGCTCCTGTTGCATACACCTTTCCTCTATGAGCAGCCACTGATTCGATGACCTGATAGCCTGATAGTGAGGCTACAGCACCGGTATGTACTTCCCACAGAAGCACCTCTGGGTATATCTTCCTCGTTCTGTTGGAACTTGATATCTAGATCCTCTTTCGGTGACAACACTTCTCCGTGGTGCGGTTTTCGTGCTGGTAGCCAGGCTTCCGTCGCATAGATGAGTCGATCACTCGGTTTCGTACAGTGCCTTGCACCTCTATGGTAGGGACACGGCAGATCTAGTTGGAAGAATACGGTACGGTACCGGTAGCTCCAGAGGTGATACCCTGCTGCTAGTAAAGAGCAAGCAAATAAGCAGGCTGCGAGAGTTGATGCTGTCATGCGAGTGTCATCTCACCTAACTCTTGCACCTCTACTGGGGACGGTGCAGCAGATCTAGCAGTTTGAATGATGCTAGCTCCAAGAGGTGCTACCCTGCTGCTGGTAAAATGCAAGCACATAAGCAGGCTGTGAGAGTTGATGCTGTCTAGTGTTATCTCAGTGCAGATCATGGCCTCTACCGGTACCGGTACTGCAGATAGTTTGAATGATACGGTACGAAGCTCCAAGAGCTACTACCCGCTGCTGTAAAATGCAAGCAATAAGCAGGCTGTGAGAGTTGATGCTGTCATGCTAGTGTCATCTCACCCAGATCTTGCACCTCTAATCCGGTACCGGCACCATACCGGTACCTGTACGACTATTGTAGTTTGAATGATACATACCGTACGGTAGCCCAAGAGATGCTACCCTGCTGTAGTAAACACAAGCAAATAAGCAGGCTGCAAGAGTTGATGCTGTCATGCTAGGGTCATCTCACTGCAGATCTTGCACCTCTATCGATTTTGCACCTCTATCGATCTTGCACCTCTATCGGTACCGGCACCATACCGGTACCTGCACGACTATTGTAGTTTGAATGATACCATACCAGTACGGTAGCTCCAAGAGATGCTACCCTGCTGCTAGTAAACACCAAGCAAATAAGCAGGCTGGAAGAGTTGATGCTGTCAGCGAATGTCATCTCACCGCAGATGCTATCGGTACGTGTAGGCAGATCTATTCTAGAGGTTGAATGGTACTAGTAGCTCCAAGACGTGCTACCCTGCTGCTAGAAAAAAGCCAGCAAATAAGCAGGCCGCGAGAGTTGATGCTGTACTAGTACGTACCACCGATACCGGAGTTCCGGAGTAATCCACCGGATTCCTAGGAATTCCGGCCGGAATCGTGCATGCCTCTAATTCCGGTGACGTTTTACGGTTACCTTTACGGTTGTTCTATGGAATTCCGGAATCGTACCGTAAGTAGCCAGTAATCCGGAATTCCGGCAGTAATTACCAACCAAGCACTCAAGGTTGGTGACCCTCAAAGAAGAGCCCTCCACGCGGTCTGTCCGTCTTGCGTCTTCCCCAGAGATTCGATTACTGTCTTTTTGAACATTTCCCTGCTAGCCAGCTAGCTAGCTACTCAGTAGTCACCGGTTGTATTTGGCCATTGATTGGCCAACGATGTCAATGGTTTGATGGTTTGGGTTGTGGCCACAGTTTGCAACTTGCAGTGGTCTGCTGTGCTGGCTAGCTAGCTTTGTGTGCTAGTAGCGGCAAGGCAGCCTCCTCCGCCTGTCTGGGTGGCAAATCTGGTTCCACGAAAAGACTATTCGATCCGAAACAATTCGAATCGCATTCTGATTCGATTCATTCAGAATGATGAGTCAGTGTCGAGTCCTTAGTCTTTCACCGTGTACCGTATAGCCGTACTAGTACCCGTACCAGGAGCTACTATAATAGTACACCACAGACCTGTTGTAGTAATGCCGGTACCATATTGGTGCCAGCTGTACGGTATGCTACCCTTTGGATACTGTAATTCAGTACCGTACGCGCTTCGCTGGCTTCTGACGTCCATCCTTACCGAATTAAGCCAGCGGAGCTGTGTAACCTCGGCAGAAAGGTTTCAGTGTAGAAGCAGATCCCCCTATTAGCTAGCTACAGGAACGTTGTGGAATGGGCAGTCGTGTATAGACAAGATGGTTTGGAATTAAGACAAGATTGGAAATCTCGTTTTGTCCTAATTCTCGATTAGGACACGACATCTTGTCCTATAATTCTCACTAGACAAGTGTTGGAGGTTGTATTACAGACACCTCAATACAAATTAGTCGTTTATCCCAATCTAGTTATAGGGGATATCTATATCTATTCTCTAGTTACATACATGGGGAGTTTAACTGATCTATATGGTCACCCCCTTCACTATATCCTTTGAAGTTGAATCAATCCCAGAAATACATGGAGAAAGATCACTTCTTGGAAATAGCTTAACAGTAAAACAGTATTTTACCTTTACTAAGCTAGAGTGTTACTAGCAACCAACACTATTTCCAAGAAGATCTCGAACTCGAGATCTCGACCATGATGATATCGAAATCAACCATTGAGTTCATGCTATAAGGTAACCACTTCAACTAAAGGTCACGTCGATAGTGCTGGAGCCCCACTATAAGGGCTATCCAAACAGCCTTGCAGGAAAAAGGCAACATCACGAAATCGTGCCTCACACATTGAGCTACAGAGCGACTGACCGATACACTCGGAACCGGAAGCGAGCTCACAGGAGTGACCTACGGAACGAGAGCTACAGCGCACCGGAAGCGAGCTCACAGGAGTGACCTACGGAACGAGCAGAGATCAAGGATCCTGCAGTCATACCGTACGAACGCAAGAGTGGCGACAAGAGTTGCCACGAACAGCAAGCTCACAGGAGTGAGCGAACACCTCAAGATTTAGTGCTGCGGAAACAGCCATCGTACGAATGCTACGTGCAAGTGCGAAAGACAACTACAAGAGAAGACTCATCACACGAAGAAGTGCAGGAGTGGCAGCCAAGCTATCTAGCTAGCTACCACGACAAGTCCAACCGGAACGGAGCAAGGCTCTGTACGGTACGGAGCAGAGGCTACTGTACGGAGCGCAGCAAGGCTACCGTGCACACGAACCGTGCAAGCCAACAAGAGCAACACGACGAGTGTCAACCGGAAGAGGAGTGATTACCAGGAGTGTTGCCACGGGAGAGGAACTAGATAACAAGTTCCAACAAGAGAAGAATTACCACAGAGGTACTTCCGTGGGAGTGTTCCTATCCTCAACAAGAGAGCCATCGAAAGAGGCTACTAGAAGAGAGGTGCGAAGATTTTCCCGTCGCACAAACAAGACGAATTACCAGGCCGACTACTCAGCAAGGACAGGTCCTACGGAAGGACTGTCATACAGGAAGTTGTGCTTTGAACACTAGTGCAACAGGCCCCAAGAGTGCAAGCTGTCGAACGCAACCGGAAACGAGTTGCATCTATCGGCAACAGGCTGAATAAGAGCGAATTTGCGAATTTTGCAACTTCCACCAGCCAAGAACAAGACGACCGAAGCGATTGAACGATCGCTACTACTGTCAAAAAGAACAAGAAGAACGACGGCGACTACTAGACGGCGACTACTACTAGCCAGTCGCTACCGCTAGCGTCAACGGCACCATCGTGCCCGTTGGCAACAGGCAAAGTGCCAACACGACGAACAACAAGAAACAGCCGACCGCTACCACTAGCCAGTCGGTGCTACTGCTGCAACAACAAGAACAACAAGCAAGACGACGACCGCTACTACTAGTCAGTCACTACCGCTACTGTTACCGCCATTGGTCAACAATAGCGACAACAGCGCCAATGTGGATACCGACCGAAGCTAGCGCAATAGCTGTCTGCTACTACTGCCATCGATCGACAACAGTGTCGGCAACAGCAGAGTGTCGGCAACTGTTGTCGGCAGAAGAAGCCATTGCTTTTTGTGAGGAAATC